TAAAGGCGCCCCCAGACCATGTTCTTTCAAGTCCTCCTCCCTCCCTCCCTCCCTCTTCCCCCTCCTCCCCCTCCTCCTCCTCCTCCCCCTCCTCCCCCTCCTCCTCCTCCTCCTCCTCCTCCTCCTCCTCCTCCTCCTCCTCCTCCTCCTCCCCCTCCTCCCTTCCTAAGGGGCCCCGGTGGCGCTCCCGGCTGCTCCTCCCTCCCTGCCTGGAGGGCGGGGGGCTCGGGAGGCGAAGTCGCGACCGCGGCGCGCTCTCGGCCCCGCCGCCCCCAGGCCCGGCCGCGCCGTGGTGGTGGCAGAGGCAGCCGACGGCGCCCGCCTCGGCCGGCCTGCGCCTCCCCCCCAATCCGCACATGATGTCGACGAGGCGCAGGACGAGGACGAGGATGGGGAGGGCGCCGCCGAGGAGGGCGAGGCGGGGGAGGGGGAGGAGGGGGAGAGGGAGGAGGGAAAAGAATGCGAGGAGGAGGAAGAGGAGGAGGAGGAGGAGGAAGAGCGGGAGTGATGATGACGAGGATGGTGATGATGACAGCGAGGATCATGAATCCTGGTGCGATGATGACGGTGGTTATGAGTCGAACTCGGTTTTTGAGGATGGCGTTGACGCATGGTGATTGCGGCGGTAGTGGTGACGATGGCGATACTGCTGGCGCTAATGATGATGCTGCTGATGAGGATGGCGATGGTGATGACGATGCTGCTGCAGAATCTGATGATGGTGGTGGTGGTTGTGATGACGATGAGGATGCTGATGACGATGCTGATGATGCTGATGATGACGATGCTGATGATGATGACGATTATGGTGAGGAGGAGGATTATGATGAGGGTGATGATGATGCCGATGATAATGTTGATGATGATGTTACCGATCTGATGCTGCTGATGACGATTATGACGCTTATGTTGGTGATGATGCATATTCTGATGATGATGATGATGATGATGATGATGATGATGATGATGATGATGGTGAGGATGCTGCTGCTGCTGATGATGATGCTGATGCTGCTGCTGAGGATGATGATGATGACGATGCTGATCGTGATGCTGCTGCTGCTTCTGATGATGATGGTGATGATGAGGATGATGGTTCTGTCGATGATGGTGGTGATGGTGATGATGATGGTGGTGATGCTGATGATGACGATGATGATGATGATGCTGCTGATGATGATGATGATGATGATGATGATGACTCGGATAATCATTGATGATGGTGCCAATGACGATGCTGATGTTGGTGACGATGGGGGAAGGTGATTGCGATGCTGTTAATGTGGTTTATTCCTATTCGGGTGATGCTGCTGACGATGCGGGTGGTAACGAGAGGGTGAGTATGGTCATGATGTGGATGATGACGATGGTAATGATGATGCTGATGAGGGCGATGAGGACGGCGATGTTTGATGGTAGTGGTGATGTCAATGACGATGCTGTAGTTGATCTCACCAATGATGAGGGAAAGGTGGTGGTTATGCTTATTATGGTGATGATGCTGTCGATGAGGGTGATGAGGAGATGGTGATAGTGGTTGTGAGGGCTGTGATGGTGATTGGCAGGATGCTGCTGCTGCTGATAATGATTATGATGATGAGCATGATGATGATGTTGCTAATGATGATGATGATGCTGATGATGATGATGATGATGATGATGATGCTGATCATGCTGGTGATACTGATGACGACGACGATTTCGATGATGATGATGATGATGATGATGATGATGATGATGATGATGATGATGATGATGGTAATGATGATGATGATGATGATGATGATGATGATGATGATGATGATGATGATGATGATGGTGATGGTGATGGTGATGGTGATGATGATGATGATGATGATGATGATGATGATGATGATGATGATGATAGTGACGACGACGATGTTGATGGTGGTGATGCTGATGATGCTGGTGCTGATGCTGCTGCTCCTGCTGTTGCCGCTGCTGGTGGTAATGGTTATATGATGCTGATGATGTTGATGATGCTGAATCTGATAATGAAAATGGCGATGACGATGACGATGACGATGATGATAATGATAATGATGATGATACATATGATGATGGTGATGATGATGATGATCATGCTGCTGATGATGATGAGGAGGATGATGATGCTGACGATGATGATGGTGGTGGTGGTGGTGTCGGTGATGATGATGCTGCTGATGATGATGATGATGATGATGATGATGATGATGCTGATGACGATGATGACGATGATGATGGGGATGCTGATGTCGCGGACCAGGATGAGGATGATGATGATAAGGTGGAGGAGGAGGAGGAGGACATGGATTCGCCTGCCTGATCCCTTCAACCGTGTGCATGCCAGTGTGGAAGCACCATCCACCCGGCCTCTCCTGGGCGACATTGGGCTGCCTCAGAAAGCTCGATTCGTTGTCGAGTGTCGCCCTTTTCACAAACGGTGTGAACGTCCAGAGATCTTCCGAGGATCGCCCCCAGAACAGTTGGACAAAGA